GGGGGGGTCAGCTTGATCGTCCATTTGTGGAGGTTTAAGAAGCAATGACGAGAGCTAGAGATTAGAGTGGGGGTTTCTGTAGAAACAGAAGAGTGGATACTCCGGCAGAGGAGCCTTACCGGAGCCGAGGAAGACGAGGGAAATGAGATTGGAAAATAGTATTGTATTATTCAAATCTTTCCTAGGTACAATGACTAGTATATATAGAGTAATAGGTGTACACGTGTAAACGTTTATTGGACTTAATTATATTAGCGGTTCCGAATACTAATTAGCTGTTCTAATATCCCCTGTCAAATTGAAGATTCAGCCTGAATGTTCAGTTTGGATCGTAGCTCCTTGAATCTGGATGTGGGAAGCGGCTTAGTTAGGATATCTGCTATTTGATATGAGGTGTTGATCGGAAGAAGACGGATTATTTGATTCTGAATGTGATCGCGAATAAACCGGTGATCGATTTCGATATGCTTCGTACGTGCGTGGAACACCGGGTTATGAGCGAGAGCGATGGCCGACATGTTGTCACAGAATAAGTCGATCGGCTGATTGTATGTGATGAAGAAGTCGGTAAGCAGACGTTTAAGCCAGATGGTGTCAGCGGTGGCCGCCGCTAGTGCACGGTATTCTGACTCGGTGGAGGATCTCGCCACGGTGGTCTGCTTTTTGACTGTCCAAGAGATTAGAGTGTTGCTGAGGAAGGTGCAGTGGCCGGTAGTAGATTTCCGCGTATTGGGATCGCCGACCCAGTCTGCATCGGAATAGGTTGAAAGAGTGAGCGGTCCGGGAAGTATAGGTAGACCGAGCTCCAGGGAACCTTTGATATACCGCAGCAAACGCTTGAGCAGGTGAATGTGCTGGGGATTAGGATCATGTAGATGTTGTGATAACACGTTGACGGCGTGTGCTATGTCGGGTCGAGTCAAAGTGAGGTATTGAATGGATCCCGCGATCCTTCTGTAGGTGGTGGGATCGGAAAGAGAGGCATCATCGGGTACCTGTTATGGTATTTTAGTGCAGGAGGGATTAGATAATGAGTTGCAGTGAAGTAGATTGACGAAGTTTAGTATGGATGTGGCGTAAGAAGATTGGGATAAGAAATACTTATCTGATTGTTTTTGTATTTTGATGCCGAGAAAATGATGAGCGGGGCCAAGATCCTTCATGTTGAATGCGGATTGTAATTTGGACAGAACAGTGGAGATGGCGTTTGTGTCATTCCCGGTAACTAGAATATCGTCGTAGACCAGCAGAAATATGTGGGTCTTATCCCGTCGAAGAGTGAGCAGAGAAGGGTCTGCCTTGCTGTATTCGAACCCAAGCTTGAGAAGATAGTTTGTGAACGTAGTGTACCATTGACGCGGTGCCTGACGAAGGCCGTAGATGGATTTGAGTAGCCTACAGACGTGGTTGGGATGATTAGCATCGGTGAAACCCCGCGGCTGAGCCATGCAGACGGTGTCGTTGAGTTGTCCGTGCAGAAATGCGTTGTAGACATCCCACTGCTGCACCGGCCAGCCGTGGAAGAGGGCGACGGTGAACAAGACTCTGATGGTTGGGATTTTAGCGACAGGACTGAATGTCTCGGCGTAGTCTATACCGTATTCTTGCTGGTTGCCCTGAGCTACTAAGCGAGCTTTGAATCTTGCAACGGAGCCGTCTGCGTTGAATTTTTTTTGGAAGGTCCATTTGCAGCCTAGTATCTGAGCCTTTGGAGGAGGTGGTTCAAGACGCCAGGTACCCTGTTGTTGGAGGGCTATGAATTCTTCGGCCATTGCTTGCCTCCATTCGAGCTGTTTGGTAGCCTCTTTGAAGCTTATAGGATCATGTTCTTGATCGAAGCTTGTAGAGCTATGAGCAAGAAGATTCATACGTTTGGACGGCTTCAGTGAGCCGGTTTGTGTTCTGGTGACCATATGATGTCTTGTTGGCGGTATTAGTGAAGGAGAGGTGGCAATCGGTGTTGGGGAGTCTGGCGGAGTAATGCGACTGGATGATGGGTTGGATTGAGGCGGGAAATGAGTTGTGGTGTTTGGTATGGTAGAAGATTTTGTGGACTGTGTTCTCTGCTCCAACGCCTTTGATACGGGTATTAGCATGGCAGAGGGTAGATCCTGGGCAGGAACCTGAGAAAGCATAGTCAAATTAGCAAAAGGAAATGAATGTTCAAGGAATGTAACGTGGCGTGATATAAAAATTTTATTGGTCTCCCTGTTAAGGCATTTGTAGCCTTTATGGCTGTCCAAGTATCCAATGAATATGAAAGAATTGGATTTTGGGTGAAGTTTTGTGCGCGTATGTTGTGGTAGTAATGGAAAGCATTCACACCCGAAGGTCTTTAGATGCTTGTAGTCCGGCCGGATGTTGAATAGTATTTGCAGCGGTGATTTGTATTGAGTGTTCGGGGAGGGCATTCTGTTAATCAAATACGCCGCCGTGGAACTGGCCTTGGACCAGTATTGGTGTGGGACAGATGCTTTAAAGAGGAGCGATCGAAGAGTTTCCACGACATGCCTATTTTTGCGTTCGGCCACTCCATTTTGTTCTGGGGTGTAGGGGCAGGATACCTGATGTCGGATGCCTTTAGAGAGAAGAAAGGATTGCATCTGATGGTTAGTGAATTCAGTTCCGCCATCGTTCCTAATGATTTTGATCCTATGATTTAATTGATTTTCAATGAATGTAGTAAAATGTTTAAATGTAGCAGTGACATCAGATTTATGCAGCAGAGGAAAAATCCATGTATATCTGGAAAAATCGTCAATGAAGAGAAAAAAAATCTAAAACCGAAGACGGAGGGGACCGGAGACGGTCCCCAAACGTCTGAGTGCACCATTTCAAGAGGTGTGTGAGTTCTTGAGTGAGAGGACTCGAACGGAAGCTTATGATTTTTACATTGAATACACGTAGTACACGGTTCAGAAAAATTTAAAATGCGTAATGTAGGATCACTATGAGAGATCCGTTGCAATGTTCGAAGGTGAGGATGTCCCAGGCGGTCGTGCCACACTGAGGAAGAGTTCTTGGACGCCTGAAGAGCTGTTTCTGGATGCTGGGTGGCGGATGCCTGCGAGATCTTGTACAGACCGCCACTACACGGACCTCGTAGCAGCTGTTGATTGGTCATCAGATCCTTAAAAACAAATCCCGTTGGACCAAACGTAATTGAAATGTTGTTATCTTTAACGAGATTTGAAATGGAAAGAAGGTTATGTGAAATATTCGGAACATGAAGTAATTTTGATAAGAGAAGCTTACGATTCGGGGTAGGAAGAATGCCCGTGCCCGAGTGAGCAATGGGAATATTTCTTCCGTCCCCGATGAAGATGTCGTCGGAGCCGGGGTATGACGTTGGTTGAGAAAGATTGTCGGCGGCATTGGTCATGTGGGAGGAAGCGCCGGCGTCAAGAAACCAATCACAAGACGGAGCTTCGGAGTTTGCCACCAGAGCGCTGTTCTGTTTGGGCGCAGTAGTGGGCGGAGCATAATTGGCGTTCATACGATGCCAACAGGCATCAGTTGTATGACCCTTCTTGGAGCAAATCTGACAGATAGGGGCTAGTTGATGTTGGCCGGAACGATTGTTGTGGTTTGGATTTTGCGTAGACCGGCCTCTGGTGCGTCGTCCGCGGCCCCTGCTAGCATACAGAGCGGCCTGCTACAGCGTATCAGTGGAAAGGCGAGCTGCGTTTGCGTTGACGTGAATTTCCTTCCTGATTAGCATTGCGTAAAGATTTTCAAGCCGAATGGGTGAGGGAGAATTTCGGATGTAAGTCTTGAATGACTGGTAAGCTGGAGTTAACCCATTCAAGATATACAAGATGATGTCCTCCGAGTCGATCGTAGATCCGGCGGAGGCGATTTGATCGACTAACTTCTTGATCTCGGTCAGGTATTGGATCATTGAAAGATTTTTCATAGAGACATGGTGAAGCTCATTCTTGAGCTGAATTACTTTAGAACGACTGGTCGCCTGGAATTAGCTTTCAAGAACTTGCCAAATGTCGTGAGTTGTGTTGAGATGGATGATGTAGGGTAAAACGGTCGGAGAAATCGTTGAGCAGAGTGCCGCCTGAAGGTTTAGATCGGTAATGCGCCAGTTATTGATTAGAACGACTGTCGACGGATCGGACGAGTCGCCGGAGTGAGTGGGCGGAGCAAGAAATTGCTCGAAGTCATTTGCGCGAAGCAGCTTGAGGATCTGATGGCGCCAGATCGGGTAGTTGTCGGTTGAAAGTTGATTTGGGACAAGAGTTTTGAGGTTAGAGACGACGAATTTGAGGGAGGGAGATATCGGTGAGTTTTCCGCCTGAGAGATGGGTAGCTGTTCGGTGGCCGCAGAGGAAGAAGCCGAATGTGAGGTTGTCATTCTTGAGGGAAGGAGATAGCTCTGATACCATGTAGAAACGGAAGAGTGGATACTCCGGCAGAGGAGCCTTACCGGAGCTGAGGAAGACGAGGGAAATGAGATTGGAAAATAGTATTGTATTATTCAAATATTTCCTATGTACAATGACTAGTATATATAGAGTAATAGGTGTACACGTGTAAACGTTTTATTGGACCTAATTATATTAGCAGTTCCTAATAGTTTCTGCGTGTCGAAGAGAAGAGCCGAAGGCTATGGTTGATCTTGTTTTAAAAAAAATAATGGAGGCTTGATTGAGGGGAATCATAGAATTTTCAGAAAGGGACCCGAGTGGTGCCGAACAGCGAATATTTAGGCGTGATTTGAGTTGGATTTTTCAGGCACGTGTGAAGGTAAACACCCGTCGGGTTATCATATTGACCCGACCTAACACGCTAACCTGGGTTACGAGCAGGCAACAAGCAAGTGAGGGCACAGGCTAGGGGGCGAGCTCTGATTTGAAGTGCACGATGCAAGCGGGCGAGGGATAGGCAAGAGCATGAGCTATATGAATGTGAATGCCTAGTTTGAACATGGGTGCAGGGACCCAGCCTGCAAGGTCAAGTTGTGGGTGCCCAAAGCGCGTATGTCTGTTCAAGTGCTAATATGGGAACGCAAGTGGGTAGCCAAAACTTCTATCAAAATTGAGTTAGTGGGTTGACTTAGACATGACCCAATTTTTCAAATGGGTCATAAATTGGAACGTAAATGTGACCTGTTGTTGACCTCGATTTTGCCCAGAACCTTGGTCAAAAGGTTGACTTGGTCGAATTGACCAAGTCAGACCTCGAGACCCCCTCCAGTGGGTTCAGTGAGTCGAGTCGACTCTGTCGAGCCCTGACTTGGACCCCGAGTCAACCCAGTTGACTGAGTCAACCCGGGTTGACCAGTTTGGACCCTTTAAGCCTAAAATCAATTTTAAATCTATCTCATAGATTCCATGGCTTGATCTCACCCCCCCTTTGACTCCCTTGACTGATTTGACCAGGTCAAAGTTTGACTTGGTCAAATCAAGTCTTAAATAGGTCAAATTAGCCTATTTTAATGAAATTAATGGCCAATAATTGCAATTAAAGCCTCCCCTTCGTTTTGAATTCAAAACCACGGCCAATTCCCTCTAAATTCCCTCCTAATTCGACCTTGATGAGATCTGGACCGTTAGCCTAGAGCTTAGAGATTTAAATAGGAGAAAATTAGGGTTAGGAAGGAGCTTTTTTTTTTGATTTTGCTCTTGCTCTAGACCTCCTGAGGCCTTGAGGTTTTCGGTGAGAGCTCCCACATACTCCCCCTACTTTCTCGAACCAAATCCCGACGTCCAGACCCCGCCGGCGGCGATCCTCCGGCGAATCCGAGACGTTTCGCGTTCCAGAAAGAATCCCGGTCGATCGAGCGTGAGTTGGATCTCAACGTCAACTAGGAAATTGTTCCTGGAGAGTCCACGAGTCCAACGAGCCCAAGATCTCCCGAATCCACCGTGTGGATTGAGGTATATCTCAAACCCTAGTTAGATCACACAAAGTTATTTAACTTCATATAGAGTGCATATTTTTTTTGTAAAACTTATTCCCCATGAATGCTCTTCACTTTTAGAACATAGATCTAAAATTTCGTGCAATTTCGTCCACCCAATCGAGAGAACGAGACGATTTTCTTTTTAGGGTTTCGGTTCCCTGTGCATGCGCAGAGGAAGATGAAGTTTCTGTTCATCGTACTGTACGAATTGGTTCGTACCGTACGATATAGTCGTACTGTACGAATTTTTTTCGTACAGTACGATCTATTATAATAAGAAAGAATAAAAACACTTTTTTTGTGTGTTTTATCTTTCTGTTCATCGTACTGTACGAATTTATTTCGTACAGTACGATCTAGTGATGTTGTGGAGATTCAATCACTTAAATAAAATTAGATAAATATAATAAATAATATTTCCTAGATCTCTATTATCCTAATCGATAACAATTATCCTACTCGATAACATTTTGGGTTATGAGTATAAATAATATATATTTCTTAATGATTCTCTTTTAATTGTGATGTTATTCAAAGCATATGAATTCCTAGATCTCTATTAAAATTGTAGGAACAAAGGATGACCGTCGACTTCATACGGTTATATCATATTCTAAAGAATTTAGTACATTTCATATCATATGCCTAGGCATGACACATACTAATTCAATATTCCTGTTTATGTATGCTTCCCTCTGCCGATGCCCCACATTACACCTAATTTTAAATATATATATTGCCAATTTGTGCATTTTATTTATATTTTTCCTTATTATTTTTTAGTCATGAGTTTGTTATAGAATTCTAATTATATTAATCTCCTAGTTATTGTATATTAATTTTGGGATATAGTGAAATATTTTTAGGTATATGATTATTAGTTGCTTTTAATATATATAGATTTATTATTGTTATGATTTATAGAAGTTATGGTTGATTAATTAAAAAGATAAAATAAATAATTTTTTCAAATTTGATTCTGAGACATTACATTAGCAAACTATATGAGAACTTATTGTTGGAGCAGTATTATGTACATGCTTGACTAGTATCTGTATATTTATCATATATTGGCTTGGTAGATCCATAATCACACAAGGCATAAAGTATAATTCCATTTACATGAAAATAAAAAAATGAATGATCAGACAAATCCAAAATTATCCCACTTAACTTACAAATCAATTTAATATAGCTCTATTTTATTATCAACTTCAAAAACTACTGCTCTGACATCAAAAATTCTTGTGATAACTCAACCCAATAAGACCCGTAGGCTAGAAAGGTTCTATTGCATTTGCTTGCAAAAAGCAAATCCTAAAATCTAGTTTTGAAAGTTATTCATAATTTTTATCCAAATTTTAACTTCAAAATAATAAAAATACAGAGCTACTTACAACATCTAATGTAGTGGAATAAAACTTATCCAAAGAAATTCTCTTTTCATTTATCATCAAAATACATATGTAATTAAAATGCATGGCTATAAATGGAGCTGCAAAATAGAGTAATAAAAATTAATCATAACTACTCAAAAATCAAAATGAAGCAATACCATGGTAGACTTAGATTAGATCATGAAATTATTACACAATAGGCCCTTTCCGCTTATCATATCCTAAAAATAAAAGGTGAAATCATAGTGAGCTAACACAAATCAGTAATAAATATTTTTCCAATCTAAATTTCTAAATAATTCCAATATTAATGTATTTTAATTTTAATAAAGCATAATACATCACAGTGATGAATAGAATAGTCATAGCAGTTATCAATTATTCAAATAATAATACTGTGAATTAAAAAAATAAAAAAATAAAAAATACTATGAATTTAAAAAGTCATAGAAATTGCATATCTCAAAGTAGAAGGTAATAAATTTTTATTTTCTCAAACAAAATCCAAAGATTTTAAGCCCTTATAACTCATAACAAATAAAATTTTCCCTTTTATTAGATAGAATCCGAAGATTCTGACATCTTATAAATCCCAACAAATAAATTTTCAAAAAAATCTAGATCTCCTATATCAAAAAAATTCAAAATATTATGACCCCTTATAGCTCCCAATAAGCATATTTTACATCAAAAATCACATAATTCATTGCAATGTAGAAAGTAAAGCATAAATGAGCTCATAATTGAATTTCACAATTTCTACATTGCTATACAATGTTAGGCTACATAATACACTATTGTATAAAATTAATTGTTCCAGAATATAACCAAATTACAAAGGATTATATAGAACACAGTTTCAAACCCTTAATTGCACAATGACAATTTTTTTTGTTCTTTTCAAATAAATAAAAAGGCACACATTTCAAAATATTTGATACAAAATTTCTTAAAAAATTTATAAATGTTTATGATTGATGTCTTTATAACATACAAAAAGTTACATAGTAAAAATTTTACTATTGCAAAATTATTCTCATTTTTTTACAACAAAAATATAAATATAATAAAAAAATTAAGAACATCTATGTATTTTTTAAAACTTAGATAGACAAAATGTCACCTATCTTAATATGAATAATTTTCATAATTGGTTCGAGATCTCAAAATGGCTCAAAGCAACTCAAAATAATTTTCTCTCTTTCTATATCTTTCTTCTTCTCTTTCTAAGATTGCTATTTGAGGTGAGATGAGCGAAGTAAAAAAAGTGGAAAAATATATTTTAAGTAAAAAAAATTTAGCCTAGCACGAAAGTGCCTAGAACCCAGAGCCGTTGCATTAATTTAAATTTTTCAAAATACATAAAACATAATGTCGGGTCACCAACTTCCAAGCACCGTGGTGCCCAATGGGAAAATTTGAAATTTCAAATTTCAAGGATATAAATGAGGCTCTTATATATTCTTCCAAATATGTTGAAATAGAGGATCATGGTGATTAAGAAGATAAAGCTAATAAGCACAAAGGGTTTCTTAGACACCTACTTTTAAAGTTAGGAAATCTTGATGAATCTAAAAGTCAGTACAAAGGGATTCTCCTTCCTTATACTATCTATTGCTAACATATGGTCGTAAACTAGTGGCCATTCATATTGATGATTCAAAGAAGTCAGAGCAAGCCATGTATGATGAGATGCATTCACTTATGTTGAATTAGACTTGGGATTTGACATAGTTACCAGATGGAAAGAAAGCATTACAAAATAAGTGGATTTAAGGCTGAAAGAAGAACATGATGGAAGCAAAGGCTACAAAATCAAGCTTGTAGTTAAAAATTTTTAGCAAAAAAGAGTAGACAATATTGAGATTTTTTCTCTAGTGTTAAAGATGATTACAATTAAAGCTATATTGAGCAAGAATATTGGGGAATTTACATCTAGAAAAGATGGATGTAAAGACATCATTTATTCATGGTGATCTTGAAGAAGAGTTGTGCATGGTGCAACCTTAGGGATATGTGGTCACATGTAAAAAAACAGTTGGTGTGTAAACTCTAAGATAGTGGTACAGGAGATTTGACAGGTTTATGTCAGTTACTAGGTACACTAAGTCTTAGGAAGATCACTATTATTTATTCAAGTATTTTGATAACTTATATATCATTTTACTTTTTTTGTGAATGACATAATTGTATGGTCAGATATGAAGAAGATAAGATGTCTAAAAAAGATTTGGTTCCAACAAAAAAAAATCTCAGTATGAGATGTAGTAGGGATAGAAGTGCAGTATATTGAAGTTGTCTCAAGTTGAATATATTAAAAAGATGTTGTAGATATTCAACATGAGTGAGGCAAAGCCAATTTGCACTCCTTTGGGTAGTCATTTTTAGCCATCTAAGGAATAATCACTCAAATATAAAGCAAAGCAAGAACAGATGAAGAGGATTCCGTATGCTTCATCAGTTGAAAGTTTGATGTACGTTGATCTATACAAGACCAGATATGTCATATGTAGTGGGAGTAATCAACATATTTATGAATAACCCATGCAAACTTCATTAAAAGCCAATTAAGTGGATTGTCGAGTACTTGAGAGGACCCATTGACAAAGCTCTTTGCTTTGGATGTGCAATGATTGATATATAAGGATATGTAGATTCTGATCATGCTGGAGATTTTGATGGTAGGAGAAGCACATTGGGAAAGATTGCAATGAGTTAATTAGTTTCCAAGTTATAGAAGATTTTTGCGCTCTCAACTGTAGAAACTGAGTATATTACTATCACAAAGGTGAGCAATGAGATGATATGGGTGTAAAGTTTCATGGTTGAACTTGGCAAGGGGCAAAGTAATGGGAAGTAACATAATGACAACATGAGTGATATTCATTTAGCTAAGAATGCTACATTTCATGCCATGACAAAACACATTCGTCTTCAGTATCATTTCATAAAATCACTAACATAAGATGGTCACTTATCTTCGAAGAAAATTCATACAACCAAGAATCCTATAGACATGCTCACGAGTACAATAAAGTTGATAAACTAAAGCTATGTGTAACTTCAGTTGGTCTTCATGAAGGATGAGAGTAGGGGTGAGCCACACTACAGGTACTATGATTGGTGTTGTAGATCGGGAGAATGATTGATTGCAATCAATTTCTAAGTGAGAGATTGTTAGTTCTGCATAGAATTTGATTATGTTTGATCAATCAGCTTGTATTGTTACTTCGAACCTCAATTCAATCTGTTGAACTCATTGGAGGGTTACAGTGGATCCTCCCCCTACTTGGATTTGGGTGATGTGTAACTGAGCACCCCATTATTATGTACCAGAGAGCCCTAACGCTGCATAGTTTGCTGGAAAAAAATAGAGAAGCAAGAGTGTTGTGGCTCTGCAAACCTCGACGTTGTGGCACTGCAGACTCGGCACTGCAATGCTATTGTGCAAGTTGAAATCATAGAGTGGGAGCACTGCGAGGCCAACTAATCAGTTTTCTTTCTCGTTTTTCATTAAGGGGTGTTTCCCTTAGTGGTTGTATTGTATTCATTTGTATGTTCTAATGTGAGAACGGTGCAAGAAAGAAGAGAAGCAAAGAGAGAGTGAAAGAGAATGTAGATTTGTACTGTTTTCTACCAATTTTCATTGTAAATTTCTTTATGTGATGTGACTTTATAATTTTTTCGAATTTTAAAATTTTCACATTATATCCTATTTTTCTTTTATTTCCTCTACTTTTATCTTTCTTATTTGTTTTGGTGTATAGTTTTACTTCCCCCAACAATTGATATCAAATCATCCTTGACACATAATAAGTATCAAATTTAGACAATTACCACATTTTAAATAGCCCAAATCCACTAAGAGTTTACTTGAGATAACAATAATATTTTGGAAATGTTATTGTAAATTTACTATAGATAAAATATTTTTTTAAAGACGTGGATATTACAAATATATTTTAAAAAAAAATAAACAGTTACTTTATCAATATTACCACATTAACAACTTTAATTGTAAGATACAATTTTCTGTTATAGAATTTTTAGAAAAGCGAGAAGACCTAAATCCACACTGCAATTACTCAAAAAAAAAAAAAAAAAAAAAAAAAATTATTTTAAAAAAAAAAAAAAAAAAAAAAAAAACACTGCAATTACTCCTTAAAAAACTAAAAATTATATATTTGCTTAACATTTTCAGAATCTCCACAAAATACCTGGCCTGTGGCGAATATATAAAATGAAGTTCACCAAAGCGCACAAAAGAAATTGGATATTCCGACCGCTGGAATGCTAATCAAGATGACCATTCAACAGAAAAACTTGCATATTTTACAAAACATGGAGGTAGACAGGCTCAGCTCCACAGAGTAAACTATTTCATAATCCATGAATCATACCAAACATCAGGAATTATTCATAATCCAAAAATTATACAACCAGCAACACTACCTTGACAGTTCGCTTTTTTTTTCTTTCTTTTCCGGTCTTCGTATTTGCAGTGAAGAAGAGCTATATGGCAATCCAGAAATCAGAGAGAAATTTCACTTCTCGGACTTCAGCTTTGCGGTTGCAACAAAGACCGGCAAGGTCCTCCGCCTATAATTTCATCTTGTTAAACATTTCCAAATCAGATGGCTCTTTGCTCTAACCATTGGTGTTGTAAATTTGCAATAAAGATCAAATGATTCTTTCCTCACTGAAGCAGACTTTCTTGTCTCTCCAACTCTACCTGCGTAGAATCTGATACAGTTGCAACTTCCCTTTCTTCTGCAATGGAATTAAGTCCCACAGGCTGAACCTCCACCATTAATTGAACGTCTACAGTAACTGAACTTTGATCTGAAGTTGCAGCACCAGCATGAGCCGGAGGAACATCAGAGCATTCCTCATCTCCAGGTTGATCTGGACCAATGTTGAGTTCAATTGGTATATCCTTTGCTTCGGCCGCCGGCGGCGGCAGAGCAGAGCAAGAAAATTCCTGACTTACAGCTTCTAGCACTATTCCATTCTCCAATTGATCAGCATGAGAGTCTGATGTCCCTGTTACTGCAACTTGTTCGGGGCTTTCCGCAACTGTTACAGTATTATTTGCAGCATGTGAAACTTCGGAAGTCTCGAGAAGAAGGGGAGAGGACTTTTCGCCGACAACTTCTGTCCCTGGCATATTTGAAATGACTATTATCTGTTAACATCTCCTACAACGGAACCAGATGAATCTGACAAACAGTTTCAACCTGCATTTTACCTGGAACTTCTCCAGCCTCTGCTTGATCAAGATCAAAATAGGAAAACTCTTGGTCTAAAGGTTCAAGCAGCAGGTGGTCTGAAACTGAACCAGTCTCCATTTGAGCGGGAACATCTTGTAACGGCTCTTTCCTTCCTGTATTGACTGGTGTAGTGTCGGAAACTACCGCATCCCCAACTTGATACTGAGCAAGTTCAGAAAATTCTCCTGCAATCAAATTTCATACAAGTATCATTCTTCATCAGGGCCAATAACAAAAAAGCACGCTCTTTACACAAAGCATCAATTGTGTTTAATCTGAAAGCACTCCTATTTGGATTCCATGGGTCATTATGTTTCAAGGTATGGGTTTAACAGTATTAGGATCCCAATTCTAAAAGTGAGTCGCAATAATATTTGTTTGTTTTGCAGGAACTCAATCTTTGTGTTTGTTTGGCTCCAGCGAATTTAATTTTTCTTATTAGTTTAAGCAAAAATAATAGATTAGCTTATTATTCTCTTAATTTAATATTAAAACAAAAAACACTGAAAATGAGATCCAATTTCTTCTAGAAACTTAAAATAAATCAAATTTGCCATCGTAAAGTAAAACTGGAAAATTCTATTCCAACATCATTACCTGGTGACGTTTCTAATACAGGTCCAAAATGCTCTTGAGATTGAACAAAGATGGATGATTCCTTATCCACAGCATCACTCAATTGTCCATCCAAGGCACCATTAAATTCAGGTTCAGCTATAAAAAATTCATGGCAAGCATACATTACTTTTTTAATTAGGTTTTAAATTACAAAATGAAGCTGATGAGAGAAAAGTTTACCCAAACTTCCTAGGTGGTCATCTTTGATTGGAGTGGCATCATCTTCACCTATCAATGAGTTTACTGGAGAAGACTTGGATGGAAAATGTTTAAGCCGGTAACTGAGTAATGCTGGCCCAAAAGTGCTAAACTTACCTGCACTACTAAATGCCATTTCTGCATCAGTGCGTTTCTTAAAAACCACCATAGCACTGTTATTTTTCCTTTCAATATATGTTTCCTCTTCTTTTAGAGGCCCATACCGACTAAAAATTCTGATAAGATCCATGTCTGAAGGAAGAGAATTCGAACTGTTGAAATATAAAATCACGGCAGTTGGTGTGCGCTCATCTACAATTTTTTCTTCCACACTAATAATTGGTCTTTCTGCTGTTAGTATATGTTTAACATGAGGACACATTGTTCCAGTATGCAATTTTGGTTCAGAATCTGAAGGAATATTTAAAATCAGCGTGGGTGACGATTCATCAAAAAACTTCCTCTTCTTCCTCCCTCTTCTTTTAGGAGGATTCAATAGCGCGTCCTTTTCAGGTATAATCATATCAGACCAATAAGAATCCTTCATATGATCAGGAGTAGACATATCAGGTGATTCTAAATCTAAAATAATCTTTTTCTTTCTCCCTCTTTTGGCTCTTGGTTTTTCAGTCTTGTTCTTCTCAATAGAAATGTTCGAAACTTGTACATTCCTGAAAGTGCAAAAGAAGTTGAGAACAATAGACGAAAAATTATTTCCCTTCATAGGATTCCTGGCAGCTAAACAAAGCTTTGACAGCATTTCATTTGCTGGGGGATAGTCCACTGAGATGTCTATCTGTAATTTTGGGTGGTCAAAAGGAATATCAAGAAAATCATCAAGATCCATACAATCAATGCTCCAATCATCTGTTTTGTACAGACCCCTCTCAGATGTTTCACCATGGCACTTACGAATAGGTTGTCCACTTGTCAGCTTGCTTGCAGCTCTGCTGATGAACTCCCCTACTTTGAAAGAACTATTAGAAGTTGGCGATGGTAACTTGGTCTCTTCGTCTGCTTCAGAGTCGATCTTCTTTATCTTGCTTCTCCCGATATCAGAGAAAACATGATCAAGAGCCTTCCGTTTATTACCAGATGAAAGACAGTTCTCATCATCTTGCACCTCAGATGCATTTTCATACCTGTTTACAAGAAGAAATGTTGTTTCCTCTTCCATCAATTCAGACAGGCTCTTCTGTTTTCTTCCATCCTCCACAAAATGTTTTTGCTTAGCAAGTGCTCCATCTCTGCCTCTCAACTTTCCCTTGGCGGAGAACAAATCTGAGAGGGTTGCAGAATGTTCTAAATCATCTTCATTCAGCTTTTTGCTTATAGAGGAGGGAGTCTCAAAGTCATTCTCAACCAACCCACTACCATTTGTGAATGCAGGAAGTTCTGTACAGCCCTTCGAGAGATAGAAGGATTTCAATTGAGCCCGAGCAACTGTAAGCTCCAACCTATCTGCCCCCCCGTTTGGGACCTGAGCTAATTCTCTAACATAGTCAAGAAGCTGGTCTGGATGAAAATAATTCACAAACTCACACCGATCAAAAACTGGATTAACAGTTTTTCCCCGTACCCCAGCATTTTCAACTTTCTGGTACTTAACATCAGCATATGATTCTTCGGGAAGACACGAGCAAGTCATTGACAATTCCACGCGCCTAGAGATTTCCACAAGGATGTCATGAAGAGCACGCAAGAATGAATCAGAACTGGTTTGCTTTTCCATCTGAGAGAAACAGAACAGAAAAGGCTTCAAACGTGACTCTTCACACCAAGCAAATGTTTTGTCCCCAAAATATGCAACCAGAAAATGATCTTTCTTCTGATATTTTATAGCCAGTTGAGATGCTCCTGAGAGATCAAAAATTTGTCCTGGCCACCAAGGATGGCTTTTGACTTTACCCCAGACAAGGTCAGAGGTGGAGAAAACCTCCTTCTCTGAAAAAGATAAATAATAAGTAGCCTGCTGACTGGTGGAAGCAGACTCAGTACTTTTGCCATCACACCCATCACTGCGGTTCTCCAATTCCTTCAAAATATCCGGAGTCCCATCTTGCAATTTTTTGCTACAATCTGTAGTTTCATCCACAACATGCAAAGCAGACTCTAAAGAAGAGGTCCCCTGCTCAAGTTCTAATTCATTGTAGTCCCTGGAGGCGATATTTGTATCAACAGTAGCATGTTCATCAGAACTCCATGCCTCCACATTAACAGCTGCGTCAACTACAATAGCAGTCTTGGCAAAATCAGAACCACCAACAGTACTAACACTAACAACTGCACTTTTCATATCTCCATCCGATTGTTGTGAACCTGAGTCTTGCTCTTCAGTAATAGGAATGGAGTCCAGCTTTTGTACTGTTTCACCAGCTATAGTATTGTTTTCATCATAAACCATCGGATCCTCATTTTCTACAGGTGATGCATGTGTAAGAATTTCAACTCGTTCTGAACTCACTGTAGAATGATGAACTATGCCAGTCTCCACTTCATTCAACGCCATACCTGAAACTTGAGAAGTTTCCACACTAATGTCCCGTTTCTTATATGTTACTACAGTTTCTTGGTCATTGCCATGATCCATATATGCATTAACTGCTTCCACACAGTCACGCAGACAGGCCAAGCCCTTTTCAATCATGTTTTCCTCTCCTGCAGAAAACTCAGACTTCATTTCACTTCGATTGTGATCATTGTCTCCAATAATTTCATCTTCCCTTTCATCTGGATGCCCTTCAAGCAAATCACAGACAACATCTACATCCACTGAATCACCACTCTTCTGGGAATGTGCAATTCTCTCCACCATTTCAGATCCAGCACTACAGGGTTTAACTTCTACCTGCTCAACAACTGATCTTGGTGCACTCTCCAGCCCTTGGGCTTCAGTTCTCTCACAAGCAACAGCAACAACGAATGGTTCTGCATCCGTTTCCAGACATGATTCTGGTCTATGATCACCAACAAATCCCTCTCTGGAGTCCAGATCCTCCATATGCTTACTGTGAACTGGATCTTTAACATGCCCAGTCTCTCTGATTGCATCAACCCCACCACCTCCAATATTCTCTGGATGAGCCAATTTTTTCTCCGGCATTCCAGGTGCGGTATTATCTTCTCCAACATCAAGCTGTTTTTTTCCAAATCTATATGAAGTCTCCAACCTTTCATCCTCTGGACCTCCACCACCAACTGAAACAGAAAGGGATGCTTGCTCAGTTCCTCCCACCATGTCCTCTGAACCTAAATCAGTACCCTGCCTCTGACCGCCACCAAATTCATTTTGAACTTGTGCAGCATGCATCATTGTGTCATAACCAGCACTTTCAGAATGCATAGACTCGGATAAATCTTTCACTGTAGATCCAGTCCCATTGGTTTCTTCCCCAACCTCAATCTCTTTTACCAAATTTGTTGACGCTTTCAACATTTCATCTTCAAGCCCTCCACCATCAACTGAAACAACAACAGAATCTTCATCAGTTCCGACCATGCACTCTGCATCCACATTAGTTTCTTGCTTCTGTTCAGTAGAGTATTTGTCTTCCAAGTCCATATCTTGACTGCTAGTATCCAAAGCAGAAGAGCCTCCAGCTGCAACAGAAGTTAGCTCTGCACTTACTTTCTCCCTAACGTCCAGTTCAAACAACTTTCCACTATGAGGTTCGACCTCAGATTCCCTTTTTTCAGAGTAAAATTCACCATCCAAAACCTGATAAAAAACCTGATCATGTCCATCCCCTAAATCCTGCAGAACCTCAGTGTGCTCATCTCCCAAAAGCAATGATCTTTCCAAACTTTCATCCTCAGGCCCTCCACCAGCACCAGAAACATTAAAAGAATCTCCATTGGTTCCTACCACATACTCTGCATCTAAAAAAGTTCCTTGCTTCTGATCACCACCAAATCCATGCTCCAGGTCCATCGTTTGACTACAAGCCTCCGCAGCTTCAAACCCTTCAGCTGAGAAAGCCAAGGGCTCAACACCTCCTTTCGCCTCAGCTTCCATTTTCAATGATTTCCCATCATGAGATTCAAGAAAAGGGGTCCTTTCTCCACGGATCAATTCATTATCTGCAACCTGACCACAACCATCCATGGACTTTTGCAAAGCCTCAACATGCTCAATCCCCAAAACAGATGATTCTTCTTCTAACCTTTCAATATCAGGACCTCCATCACCAGCAGCAGCAGAATCATCTCTGATATCCCCAATGCGGGATCTGTCTACCAACTCCATAGCTTGGCAACTAACCTCAACGGCTTCAAACCTTTCTGCTGAAACAGCAACCAGCTCTTTGCTTTTCTTCCCCAACTCCACTTCACACAACCTTCCACCATGAGAGTCAAGTTCATTTTCAACCTGACCACATCCTTCCACCAAACGCACCAGAAACTCAACTTTCTTTTCTCCCAAAGTCAATGATCCCTTCAACGTTTCATTCACCTGAGCTCCACCCACAACCAAAACAGTATCTTTATGTTCAATTCCCACCATGCCTTCTCCATCTGCATCAGTTCCTTGTATCTGATTACTGCCTGAATCATCTCCCAAATCCATAGCTTGACTGCTAGCATCAACAGATTCAGGCCGTTCAGTGGAAGCAGCAATCAGCTTTGTGCTCCCTTTCTCCCCTATGTCCACTGCCATGCACTTCTCACCATAAGATTTAACTTCAGCTAAACTTATTGCGGTGCCCAGTTCACCTAATAAAGCCTCACCGAATCCCTCCACCAAATTGCCCTGAACCTCTTCATGTTCTTTTCCCAAGATTAATGATCCTTCCAGCCTTGAATCCTCAGGTGCTCCACTAGAAATTGAAATGACAACAGCATCTTCATCGGCTCTGACCATGGCCTCTGCATCTACATCAGTTTCTAGCATCTGATCACCACCACGTCCATCAACCAAATCCACAGGTTCACTGCTAGCCTTAGAACGTAAAAACCCTTCAGTTGAAAAAGCAGGCAGCTCTACACTTCCTTCATTATTCTTGCCCACTTCCAAAATTTTCTCGCCATGAATCTCAATTTCAGCTACACTTTTCCCAGGACTCAATTCAGTATCAATTGCAATGCCTTCTGCATTTACATCAATTTCTCGCTTCTGATCACCATCACATTCATCTCCAAAGTACATACCTTGACTGCTAGCCTCAGTAGGTTCAAATATTTCAGTTGAAACAGCATCCGACCCTGCACCTTCTTTCCCCCTCTTGTCCACTTCCAAATGCTTCCTGCTGTGAGACTTAACTTCATCATCAAGTCCTCCAGGACTTAAATGAACATCTAGATCCATGCCTTCTGCTTCTGCATTAATTGCTTGAATTTGGTCACCACCAGAACCATCTACTGAGTTCATGGCTTGATTGCTAGCCTCAATAACATCAAACTCTTCAGCTGAAGAAGCAACCAGATCAGTACTTTCTTTCTCCCCTGTTTGCAATTCCAAAGGCATCCCTTCCTGAGAATCAACCTCATCTTCCCTTTCTCCACAGCCTAATTGACCACCTGCCTGATCACTTCCATCAACCAAATCCACCTGAACTTCCAACTGTTCCCTTAAAATTGATGATCCTTCCATCTTTTCACTGTCAGCCTCTCCACCAACAACTAGAACAGTAACTGAAACTTCATCAGTTCGCATCAAGCCCTCCACATCATCAGCGCCTTGCATCGGATCACCACCACATCCATCTGCCAAGTTCATGGCTTGACTGCTTGCCTCAGCAGCTTCAGATGGTTCAGCTGAAGCACCAACCAGCTTTGCACTCCCCTTCTCCTCCATGTCCACTTCCACACACCTCCCACTACAAGATTTAAACTCAGCACGTCTTTTCCCAGTGTCAACTTCAACATCTGCAGTCTGAACTCTTCCATCACCTAAATCACCCTGAACCTCAGCCCGCTCTTTCCTCAAAACTAACAATAACTGTGATCTTTCATCCTCGGGTCTTCCACTACCAACTGGAATGGTAACAGAAGCTTCATTAACGCTGACCACGCTTTCTGCATCAACATCAGTTACTAGCCTGTGATCATCAGCAGATCTATGCACCAATTTTATAGCTTGACAGCTAACTTTGGCAGGTTCAAACCCTTCAGTTGAAACAGCAACCAGCTCTGGACTTCTTTTCTCCTCGCATTCCACTTCCAAAAGTTTCCCGCCAATACCAACTGAAACAGCAACAGAATCTTCACTAATTACAGCCATGCCATGTGCATCTAAATCAGTTCCAAGCCTCTGATCAAAACCAGATCCATCACACAAATCCATAGTTTGACTGCAAATTTTGGCATGCTCAAACCTTTCGGTTGAAACAGAAACCAGAACTGTGTTTACTTTCTCCACTCTGTCTATTTCCAAAAGCTTCCCTCCGGGATTCTCAACTGCATATTCCCTTTTTCCAGAGCCCAATTCACCATCTATAACAATGCCTTCTGCATCTAAATTAGTTTCTCGTTTTATATCACCACCAGATCCTTCATGAAAGTCCATTGGATGTCTGCTAGCCTCAACAGGTTGAAATTCTTCAGTTGAAACAGAAACCAACACTGCACTTCCTTCACCCCTCTTGTCCACTTCCAAAAAGTTACCACTAAGAGACTTAACTTCAGCATTCCTTTCTCCAGGGCCTACTTGGACATCCATAACCATGCCATCGGCATCTAAGTCAATCCCTTGTTTCTGATCACCACCAGAACCATCTCCCAAATTCACAGCTTGATTGCCAGCCACAACAACTTTAAACTCTTCAGCTGAAACAGCAACCAGATCAGCACCGTCATTCCCCCCTTTGTCCATTTCCGTCACGGGTTGATTGCTGGCCTCAACAGATTCAAACTCTTCAGTTGAAACAGCAACCGGATCAGCAATTTGTCTCCCCACTGTGCCCATTTCCAGCAGCTTTGCGCCAAGAGACTCACCATTAGCTTCCCTATCTGCAGGGCCCAATTGATAATCTAAAACTTGAACACCTCCATCCACTAAACCCACCCCAACCTCCTCTGTCAAATTTGATGACCCTTCCAACCTTTCATCCCCAGCCCCTCCATGCAAATCTTTATCAGTTCCAACCATGTCTTCTTTATTTGCATCAGCAACTCGATTCTGATCATCATCAGATCCATCTCCCAAGTACTTAGCTAGACCGCTAGCTTCAACAGGCAAGTCCACAGTATGAATGCTAGCCTCAACAGGTTCAAATGCTTCAGTTGAAACAACAACCAACTCTGCGCTTCCATCCTCCCCCACCTCCACTTCCAAAACCTTCCCACTGTGAGAAAAAACTTCAGCCTTCCTTTCCCCAGTGCCTGATTGACGATCAATAACCATGCCATCCACATATAAATCAATTCCTTGTTTTTTATCACCACCAGAAACATTTACCAATCTCAGAGCTTGAGTACTAGTGTCGGTAGCTTCAAACTTTTCAGCTGCAACAGTAAACAGATCAGTAATTTCCTTCTCCCTTTTGTCCACTTCTGAAAGTTTCATGGTAAGAGACTCACCTTCAGGTTCCGTCTCTTCAAGGTCTAATTGGCCATCTACAAGCTCACCACCTCCATCCACCAAATCCACCTGAAACTCAGCCGGTTCCCTTCTCAAAATTGATGATCCTTCCAACCTTTCATCCTCAATCCCTCCACCACCAACTAAAACAGTAAGAGAAACTTCATCAGTTCCCATCACGTCAGAGCCTCTCTTCTGATCACCACCAGTTCCATCTCCCAAGTTCATAGTTTGACTGCAAGCCTCAACATCCTCAAAACCCACTGTTAAAACAGAAACCAGCCCTGCACTTCCTTTCTCCCCAAATTCCGTTTCCAAAAGCTTCCCACCGCGAGACTCTGCTCCAGATTCTCTTATGACAGTCTCCACTACACCAGCATCGCTCCATCCCCCAAGCTCAGAGCCAGCACTCCCATCTCCGCTACCCATCATCCCATCTTCCCAATCAGCTATCCCTCTCTTACATTCTTTCTCCTCCTCCCCTCCCCTATCCGTAGTCTCCCCACTTTCCTTAGCAGGCAATTCACCTCCAGTACCGACCACTCCATCCTCCAATCCACCCTCCACACCAGCTTCATGGTTATCAAGAATGGCCACAGTATCGCAGTTGAGATCGAGACCGCCGGCTCCACTGGCTTCGCCGGCGCCGGACGACATGCGGAGAAACCCTAGCGTGATCCAACCCCCGTCTCCTCCCAGGCAAGCCTCAGAATCTAAAGCAAAGAAAATCAAACCCAGGTACAGTGCTCACGCTTAAAATTGAGAGACTTCGAAGCTCTATAGCTCCATAATCGAGCTCAAGAAGAGAAAAGACAGAAACAAGAAGATGAAGACCGAACAACAATTCGAGGGCATACCTGGATTAGGGTTTCGAAGCGTGGTGAACACACCGAGCTAGAATTGAATGAGATCGAGACGAGGAAGAGAGGGTTTAGGGTTTCACGACATGAAGATTCGGAAGGAAGAGCGAGGGAAAGTCCTTGGAGGGTCAGAGACCCGCTTCTTCTGCTTCTTTAGTCTCGCTGTTTTGTTTGTTTATTAACAGCTCAGTCCAGTAGTAACAAAGTGGAACTTGCGGAGACAACTGGGTACTTTGGCGAGTTTACTCGATTAACGTATGGTATAATCTTATATTTTGTTTGAAACTCGCACTATAATTGTGGATTTTGTTATCCGCTTTGAATAAAAATCGATTTTTTTTTCATTTTAAAGATATATAAATATACATAAAATTATAGAGATTCAACTCAAACGTTAGAGGTATTTATGCATATAATATTGAAGTTTATTATATATATAATTAATATTTTGAATTATTGAATTTTGGGATTTATTTATATCAGGATGAAATAATTAAACTTTTAATAAAAATAAAAATATTTATTTATTATAAATTTAAATATTTGAATATTATTATATGCCAAAATATTCTTAGCATGGTGTAAAGATCGAAAATATATATAGATAAAAGAATTGTTAAATACAGTCGAGTTTTCATACCAAAACTCTTAGAAAAAAATTCATGAGGTATAGCCCAGTTGATATGATTTCAATAATGCTTACTATAGGTTATAAGTAGTATCCTTTTCTTTGGAGAAGGCATTCATTATTTGTAGTAAATATATAGTGTATAAAAAATATTTCTTTGTTGAAGTTGGAAGAGCCCTTTTAGCATGGGAATTGTATTTAGAATCATTTTGCGAGTTTATTTAGTCATACTCCTTTGAGAATGGGGGATCAAAGATTGAAATTTGAAAAGCCTTGCATAAATTCTGACATTGACATCAATGGTCAGTTTTGATGTCAATTTAGTGCATTGATGTTATAAGCAATGACTAGAATTAATATTGTTAGCAATGATAGGTGATGTGGTCAATGGACATTAATATTAGGGGTATAAAAGAGCCGAGCCGAGCTCGAGTCATGCCTAAATTAGGCTTAGCTCAACTGCCAAATTGAGAGCTTGAACTCGAGCTTGACCTTGAGTCAATCTCAAAAGTCGGGTTCAAGCTTGGCTCGTACATTAAAGACAAGCTCATGAGCCAGCTAACGAGCTCGTCGTACTCAAGCTTCAAAGTCGGGCTCAAGCTCGGCTCGTACGTTAAAGACAAGCTCATTAGCCAGCTAACGAGCTCGCCGTAAAAAAAAGGGTCAACCACCAAAAGACATGCGTTTTTTCATTGAGGGGAAGTTTCTATTGGGTTTTTCTTCTATAGAGAAAAAACCTGTAGCTTTTATTTCTAGATAATTAATGCCTGCCACTTTGAGAAAATATCCTTAATATTTTATATATTTTTTGTTTGAGCATTTCAATGCTTTAGTAATAATTAAAGCTGCATCATTTAGTAGATGTAATATTTGGAGCTTTTTTATTAGTCATGCTGTTATTGCACTTATTTTTTAAAAATTTTTAAATGTAATAAAAATAGTAATAATTAAAAGTGATTTTTACATACATAACACTTCAAACTATTACAAATACATATTCTACACTCAAACTATTATATTTACTAATATACCATCTAAAATTATTCTTTTAATCAATTCTAACATTCCGTTAAATTCCGTCGGAAATCTCCATCCCTCTATCGTGTTACTTTCGTTCGCGCGAGCAAGTGTCTTCTTCCCCGTCCAAACCGCCTTCTCCATGGCGGTAATGCTCAGAATCATTTCAATGTCGATGAAATAACAGAGCGCGAGATAGATATTGTTGTAGAACAATTTAACAAGTTATTTTATTAGAATTGTCCTCTCGCACTTTGTTTGATCCCTTTCTGTTCTCCGGCTTGCGACGCTATCTCTTCTCCTCCCTCTGGTTTTTCTTCTTGGCATTTTGTACTGTATAAAGAGGGTTTGATGTTTGGTCTGATGTCTTCTCCGAGCAAGCAGAGGGAGATGGACTTCATGAAACTGTGAATCTCTTAGATCTATTCCGTTTCTCCTTTCCCCGCGTAGTGGGATAAAGGCTTGATGTTTTTCACTTATCATAATAATAATTTTTTGTAAAACCGGGCGTAAAATTTCTACATGGAATTTCCAGCAAAGAATTTGTGTTGGCATTAGGAATTCAGTTATATGGATGATAATTTATCATTCCTCATAAATTTTAGTTATTTCGTGTGAATTTTTTTATAGAAATTCTGCTCATATTTCTTCCATGGCCTACTTCTGCAGTCTAGGAAAAAGAGCAGCTTACTCTTAAGATTAGGAATGAAGACGAGATGACGGCGACAAACTAGAGCCAGCCGTTGGGGCCAAGGACCAGATCCACGGCTGGGTCAGAGGGATTGGGATTTAAGTATATGAGCTTCTTGGCTTCGGCGTCATCGTCTGCAGCCGGTGGCGGACCTTGTTGTTCCTTTTTAACAAAGGCCATGACTTGGAGTTGGAGTTGGGGGCGTTTGTGGATGGTTGGCATTTTAACAATACTGAGTCTAGGATGCTGCTTGAGCTCACAGTGAAGGAATGGGGAGACAGTCGCTGATGGTATTTTTGACGGGGGTTGTCACGGAGTGTTAGAACATATAAAAAAGAGAATTTAGGTGGTATATTAGTAAATATATAAATTTAGATGTTAAATATGTATTTATAATAGTTTGAAGTGTTATGTAGGTAAAAATCCCTAATTAAAAATAATTCAAACATTAATTTGAGCAGGCTCGTGAACTCCCGAGTCGAGTCGAGTCAAGTTTGAACTTAACGAGCTCGAGCTCATGGCTCGGCAAGCTTAGCTCTTAAGTGTTGGATCATTATATCCATATATAAAATGCGGAAATAAAAAATCATGATTTTTAGAAAATTAAATTGAGATATTCTTCTTATTAATTTTCTAAATAAATAATTGTAAAATATTAAATGAAGAAAACTTACCTAATTGTTGATTGAGATTGTAGATCTTCTTCGTCGAAATGTTGATTGAGACCGTAAGTTTTCTTCGTCTAATCACCCCATCAAATATATTTTAGTGAGTTGACACAATCAATCAATTATTGATGAACATTTTTTCTTTTGAATCTAATTTGTGTTATAAACACAATTTAATCATTCAAAAAAGAAAATACAATGAGACTAACATTTTTCTCATATATATTCTTACATCATCATCATTTTCATGTAAAACTTAATTCTTATTTATAAAAAAAAAATTTACATCTTTTCATAAGCACCTTTTCATAATTCATGAAGTATTTTTTTTAATCTATATTAAAATGATAATTAGCATGACACATCATCAATCTTATCTTTATTGACACATCATCAAACTTATATTTATCTTTTAATATTAAAATATATTTAATAATAATTATCATAACACATCATCAATCTTATGTTTAATTACACATCATCAAAATATCAATGATTAGTCATCATTATCTTCATGAAAAATAATGAAATTAAAAGGTGATCATAAATGTATTACTAATGTAATCATAATTTAACATTTTTATTATAACGATAGTGTTTAATATATAATAAAGCTTAGGTGATGAAGAAGGGATCTATGGACCTATAATTCAAACTCCAATAATTTTGATCATTAATTTAACTCTTAAATTAATAAAATCAAAATAATTAATTTCAATATTATTCCACTATAAATATGAAATTGCACTCTTGAAATTATAGTATAATTTACTCAATTAAAAAATTGAATTGTCCATTGATTTAATCGTTACATATAAAATAATCATCTATAAAAATTTCATAATTAGAGCTAGATAATTATGTCACCTCATTAATTATATATTGATCCTTGAATTCCAATTAATTCTCTAATGAACAATAAACTTTGTGACCTCATCGCAAAATTTGAGCGCTCAATTGTTGAGATTCTAAATTAATTATTCAATGGAACTAATTTTCTAACTTCTAAAAATGAAAGTAATGGATTACATATCTGTGTATTAACATTCACAGCCATTTGTTTCATTATGCTTCTGAAATACAAGGATTAAGTTTATTTCTTTCAAATTATTTTCGAGTAAATAAAAAAACTAAATGTCAAAAATAGGAGTTTATTAATAACTCGGGATTAATATTGTTTTATATATGATCATCTTTATGATTAATTTTAAATTCTCTATAATTAAAATAGAATTTATTAAATAATTTAAAATTTATTTGGTCTAGTTCTATATAATCATATTATATAAAGTATCTTCATCTTTAATATCTCCATATTGAATAATCCGGATAAGATTATTCTTTTCTTAATATTGATGGATCGTACTAATAATATTTAATTATAAATTCCAACTATAATTAATAATTATGAACTTGTTTTGATTATTATCGTTAACTCAATCCTCTTGTATATAATTATATACTGAATTATGATTACATAAATAATCATGAAACAAAAATATTATATCAAATTATAATATCGAAATATGCTAAACTTGTATTTAAATATTTATTTTCATAGAAAATATATTACAATAATATTTCTTTAGGGCATATTCCCTAATAGTGAGTTCTTTATCGAGTCGAGTTCTAGCTGGCTTGGCTCACTTAACCCCTAGTTAATATAGCTAGGCAACAACTGTCATAAGATTGCAGGTTAGATGATTGTAGACGAGAGATAGTGTTTGTAGGATCCTAGTCAAGCAATAGAAGTTAAATGATCATAATTAATCATTAACGGTCAAATGATTAAAGTCGGGCACTAGCGATCGGATGATTGTAGTCAATCAATGGATTATAATCAGACAATGGTAATCTTAAGATTGTAATTGGGCAATGGTGGTTGAAGGATCATAGAGGAACAACATAATTTGAATTATTATAATTAGACAATGACGTTATGACAATGGCAATTAGGCAGTGGTCCAACAATAGCAGTTTAAAAATGACTTGATGATGGTGATTGGATTGTGGCTTGATGGTATCAGTCGAGTGATGGTTCAAGGAAGATGTTCAAGTAGTGGTCTGATGGAGGCGATTGAGTGATGGTTTGACGGTGGTGCTCAAGTGGAGCTCTAAGTTTCTTACAATATATGAGTTCTCTCAAATCTCAAGCTAAAGTCCAAGTTCCCAGCTCTCCT